CGCCGCCACTTTTTCGCTTATAACTTCGGAAATTTCGAACCGATTGTCTCGAATCAGGTTTCCCTCGGAAGAGCAATAAATTACCTACTATTTGCTTTATTTGATAGTCCAGGTTATTTCTGTATCCGAGCTATAAGCCGTCAAAGTTGAAATTTTTATGAAAATGTATTGAAAGATTTGAAGTTGATTTCCTCAAAAACGGTGCCCCGTGAAAGGGTAACTCTAATAAGATTTTTGCAGTTCTTAACGAGATCTACAAGTTGTGTTTTAGGTTTTTTCCCAGGCTCTTCGTTTTCCAGTTAGGATGCTTTAAAAAAAATAAAAATAAAGGCTGTTTTGATTTTTTTGTCATGACGGTCTAAAGGGAATCACAAATATTTCCTAAATGAGTTCAGTTTTAAGCCTATGTGTGTAGTAGGCTAGTCCTGTCTGTAGGTATAATTAATTCTACTTCTGGTAATTTTTGGAGCCCAAGCCCCCATGGTAATTTTGAAATTCCGGCGCCTATGCAGAAAACGGTCTAGCAGTTTTGCTGCTCGTAAAGTTGCCACGAAGAAATTGAGCATGTATATCTGGATGTTTTTCTGTAGAGTGCGTATGAATAATGGCAACCACCGAAAATAGTGGACTGCATCCAATGCAAATGTCCACGGACATAACTGAGCCAAAGTATGGACGTTCATGGTAAAGTGAGATGAACGAATACTCAAATACTGATGCTGGAATTTGTTTCGCATGCTTTGTTACCTGTAGACAATGCAAGGCAGTTAAAGTAACTTCGTTCGCATACCGGGATCTTTTTACATACGACGATGTGAGGCAGGATTCCGCATTACCAGAATTTGCAATAAGATAAGAGCGGTTGACACTAATTCAGTCCATCCACTGCCAGCTTGATTTCCGTTTGATTTTGCTGTAACCATTATTATAATATCCATGATATGCCGTACCATTGCTGGTAGGTAAAATTTAGTCATTTAGAAGTGGAAGCAATGTCGCTTTATATTTCTAAAACCAGGTTCATTTTGTGCATGAAAAGCAGCGAACGATACTCTATGCATATGCTCTATACTTTGTATTGTTACAAAACGGCCTAAAAATCTCTTTTTTTTTTTTTACTTCGTAATACAATTATTTGGCTTTTTTCCCAGTTAAATTAAAATCGCCAAATTTCTGACGAAACGGTACCAAGAGCCAAGGGTTATCTGTCGGTTTCCGAAAAAGTGTAATGACTGTAGTGACTTAAAACACGACTCTTGACCCCTGGTTCCTTGAAAAAATCGCACCAATAAGACTCCCAAAGGCGTCATCAAGCTGCCAATATAAATAGGCCTGTGAGCCTCCTAGATTCATTCAGTTCTGTAACAAGGTTCTGGTATTTAGTGTTGACGTCTTTCTGCTGACTAGAGGTGGGAAACTATCGAATGAAACTATCGATATATCGATAGTTCGTTGCGGAATTAAAAATATCGAACTATCGATAATTTTCTTTAGACTATCGAATACTATCGAATTTTGTATTATATTTAATTGGTACCACTGGGCGAATTCTTTTATTCATCGATGGATCCATCTGCTGAAAGCATTATGAGACAGCCATTCCGATTTTCAATGAACTAGACAAAGATAGCCAGGTCATCGATGGAGCCATCAGTGAATAAAAGAAAGCGTTTACTGACTAGGATAGAAGCGGTGACAGGTCGACAGCTGATGCTAAATTCTGACATGAGAGGAGTGACGGAGGGGGAACGCTTCCATTTTGCATTTTGCACCATTTCATTTATTATTATTATTTATTTCCAGTGAGGAATGTGGAGATAAAAAGCATTTCAGAAAGCTGGTCAAGAAATATTTCTGTATCCCAGCTACTTCAGTGCCTTCGGAAAGGTTATTCTCGAAGGCTGGTGATATTTTGACAATTAAAAGATCCTAACTTAAATCTAGAAATATAAATATGTTATTATTTATTAATCAAAATAAATGATTGCTTTCTTAAATCTTGAAGGGTTGTAGTTAAATAATTAATTTTGTACAAATACTATTAGAATCATCAATTTTCATTTCAGTATTCTAGGTTATATTTTTAAACCGATAGTACCATCGATATATCGATAGTTAATCATCTACTACTATCAAACCATCGATAGTTTTTGAATTCGATATTTTCCCACCACTACTGCTGACTCTCTTTCCAAGACCTTAGGTAATGTTTCAATTTCAAGTATTTTAATTTAATCATCATGATTGTTGTTTTCTGTCTATTATTTATTTTCTCCCCTATGTAAAGAACCAAACCGTTGGGTTAGCTTCACAACTCAAATCTCTTTTCCAACATGTATCTTACCCTGAATAACAAGAAGGTCGTTTTGTCATTCCCTTGTCGAGGACGCACGTGACTTTTTACCCACAAAGAATTATAGCCTAATCTTTATTTTCTGTATCTTTTAATCCTTAATTTCTCATGTAACTTGTACCATCAAGGAACGCCCTACACAGGACGCTCATTGATTTCACTCCCTATCATTACAAATCTCCGTATGTATTTCCTTTCATTTCATTTCAGTAAACATTGTTAATAACTAACTGTATATTCTTTGCTTTTCTTTCATTTCCTTAACAAGATTTACCATTTGTTTAATAAACCATTGTTAGAGTTTAGTAAAAAAAAACTGATTCTTTCATTTCCTTTGGAAAACCCCGAGCTAGCATTCCAACTAACTGCGTACAGCTCAGGTAGCAAGAACCCGCATTCGAAGAGGCAATCTAATCAGATTACCAAAAAGTATCCGTTCAGAGTTATCTAGATTTTCAGTGGGACTTTAAACAAAGTCCCTGGTGGCACGCTACCGCAGTACAAAAAGGCCTTTACCAGTACTAAACAAAGTCTCCCTTTGTTACCGCCACCACCTGGATATGATATGACAGGCCAGTAAGGGAAACTTTGTTTTAGGACTAATAAAGGCCTTTCCTCGTACTGTGGTAGCGTGCCATTAGGGACTATGATGTCCCACGGAAATTCTCGGTAAATCGCAACAGGTTAATTTTATGTAACTGATTCGGTTGCCCTTATTAGTCTGGGTTCTTGCTACCCGAGCTGTACGTAGTTGGATTTTAACTGTTTTGAAAGGAATCGGTTGTCAAAATAAACCAAAGCAGTATTCTTTTACGATGAAGATTTACTTGAATTTATTATAGATAATATAGGTAACAACTAAAGACAATGGAAAATCAGTAAAACGATTGAAATAATAGAATAGGTACAATAAAAGAATAGGCTTATAATAATATAAGAGTAAGGTAGATGACAATACTGAATTTGAATTTAGAATAAAAATGGAGCAAATAATTGTACAGGTAAGCTATGTTCCATGAAAAACGATTAATTATGCTAGTTATAATCTACAATTAATGCTAGAGAACATCTTTGACAGGGTAGTACAAATCGGCCTTGTTAGATATCAGGGTTTCAACAGTGAACCATCCAATTGAACGGTTTATACACTAAGGACAGGAAAAGTAGGGAAAATGCATTCAAATTGACTGATGGCCATTTGCAACGCTATCACTTAAGGGATATTAAATTTAAGTGTAGCTTTTGAATGTGACTTTTGTTTCTGTGACCAGAACTGAATGAATCCAGAGCTACATGAGGCGTCTTTTATTTAGCGAATTTGAATGACGCTTTCAGTTTATCAGTCACAAGTCAGGCGACGTTTTCCAAGGACCCAGGAGTCAAGAGTTGTGGTTGTAAGACATAATCATCGCACCGACTGATAGCCCTTGGCTCTTGGTACCGTTTCGTCAGAAATTTGGCAATTTAATTTAACTGGTAAAAAAAAAAACAATTAATTGTATTACGAAGCAAAAAGAAAGAAAACGGACTTTTAGGCCGGTTTGTTACACCTTACCCACCCGTCACAATTAGGTGGCGGTGCTAACAGTATGTCCTCAAGATGTAATCTCTTAATGACACAGTTGAGCCAAGGATTTCAGACTTTCCTGGGAGTGAAGGCAGGATCATGGTCAGTGTATTGTGAATTGCCAATTAGCAAAGGATCACTTCTAACTTTACCACTTGCAGGAAGCGTACCTAGTGTAATATTCAGGGAGGCCATTGATAATTTTGATTGTTGCTGTCATCATGAATCTCCATAACTGTATTACTGTGAGGATGCTGAATAATCGTAACACTTGAACCATGGAAAGAAGTAACGGTAGTAGAAGAAGATTGATTGTGTTTAATGTTGTCTATTGCTGATGTTACAAATACAGTGGGACACAACTTTGACGGGTGAACACCATCTTCCATAATATATTTTTTACACAAATACGTTCGTAACTGTGGCTGATATTTTTTGCACTTGATTATATGAAACATTCAAACCCAGACGACACACTATATTTATAATCTTTTTCTTTTTAGTGACAAGCGTGAATCATGACACTAACATAATCTAGTGTGAGTGGTGTTTCTCTCTCCAAAGAGTGACGTACACTTTAAACACTTCTGCTTTTCTGGCTTGCTTAATACTGTTGTATCTAATAAGTTGAATTATTGATAATCTTGCAATATTTGCTGCAATTATTTCTGGTGCGACACCAGAGTCAATATCGGGACCTTCTAACAATTAACATACATACAAAATGAATAAGAATTGCAGGTACAGATGTGGAAACAGTAAATGCATTTTTAAAGGATCCTTCAGTTGTCTTCGTAATATACCTACCCTGTGAGCATTTTATTCCTTAAAGGGAACTGTGCCTTTTGTGACGTGATATTGGTGATTTTATAAATTTTGATGTAGATGTAGTTTGGCCTCAGCAAGATGGACACTTTTTCGGTTTCTTTCCACTAGATCGTCTTTTCGCCTTTTAACTGTCATATTTATCTGCTATCAAGAGTTTTTTGGAAATGAAACTACAGATTGTATAGCAGATAAACGACATGTACCTACTTAGGTATTCAAATATGTATAGAAACTTTATTCAGATAATATAATTTAATTTATGAATGGTACCACAGGCTCCTTTGATTTCCATGAATCATGAATTGTAAAGATTCTTTTTGCTTGTATTTCATTGTTGGGCTTTAGATTTTGTATAACAAACTTGCCAATGAAGTAGTAGAAAATTTCCACAAGACTTATAATGCTACAGCCAAGAAAAAGACAATATACACCACCAAATGAAGCTACAAAAAAAAAATCTTAAATAATTGAGTTTCTTTAAAAAAATCTACTCACATATTAAATATGTTATCGAAGTTATCACATCCCTTACCCAAACAGTTTGCCAGTTAGAAGAAAAAAATATATTTAATACAATTGAATTTTCATTGTAATTAAACCTGAAAATGTATTAATTAATATTAAATAATTATAAAAAAATGAAATAAATTACGTATTATTCAGCATCCATAATTTTGATTTATTTGCAAATTTACTTGAGGCCAGTACAAAATTGTAATAATCATCTTCGCATTGAGCAGGACAATTACAATTATTGCTAATTAAATCTAAAAAAAAAAAAACATTTTGTACATATTGAGTTTTTGTAACTGTTTTACTTACCATCAGAAATATTTTTCAGGCAAGAAATATCACCTAAGTTACAACTGTCCATTTCTAAAACCAAAAATTATAAGTTTCCAATGCAAGTGGATATAAGAAATAAAACTTCTTAGACCAAATACCTAATTGGTAAGAATAGGCACAAAATCTGCTTACCATTGGTAATGTTTTGCAAAAGAAAGACACCCATTACCCATTACAAAATTACAAACTTACCATCACATCCATGTGGTAAGGATGAATTACAAAGTAAATTATCTGGAATATGTTATCAGGAATTATGCATTAAAGCAAATGAGCTGATTTATAGAAGCAATAGAAATAAATTGTTATTGTATGGTCTCCAAGAAGTTCTATTGCTTCAAAAAAATCCCTTCATAGAACTTACCATACATAAAATCATAATAATATGGCACACAGCCACATTTTTCAATAGCTGTAAATGCTTCGCATAAACACAAGCAGTTTGAATATGAATATCCACCAAAATATTCGAGTTTCCTTTCGTCTGAATACAGGCATTTACGATGCACAATGCTGAGATTCTTATTTTAAAAAAAAATTAATAGTTTGAAAAAAAAATCTTATTTGTCCCTTGTACCTTAACTTCTTTGCTGCACTTTCTTTGTAATGCTTTTACCTGTACATAATTTATTCTGCCTAAAGGTAGAACTTTTTTCATATTATCATCGCCTCCTGGAAAATCTTCAGGATTATGAACTGAAATCTGCATAAGTTCAATAATCATGTCTCTATAGCATTTGTAACTTACAATAACTCCAGCCATATTGCGTTTATTAAAATCAGGCATAATTTGAACTTTTAAACCAGTAGAAGCTCCATAATAAATTGCATATTTGGCTTGCTTTAAGGAATCTTTGCCCAAGTAATTGAACGAACAACATCTGCCTTGTGCTGTGAATGTTTCTTCAAAAATTTTGTTGCATTCTATAGGCTTTTGATCCCATGAACACCTAAAATGTTTTGTTTTAAGTCTATAGAAAAAAAATGCTTATTTTTGGGTTTTACTTCACTATTAATTCATCGCAGCTTTGTGAAACTCTTTTGAAAATATTCTTGATTTCTTCGTAACCATTTTTCTCTAAAACTTCTGTAGCTGTAGCCAATTCTGATATATTTGGTTTAGTTTCTGCTGTTGTAAATATATTGGAAATTACGTTTTTTGTTACAAGGAGCTCTTGTTCACTGACATAATCCCTATAATGGAATAACAAAAAATTAATTATCCTAAAAGACTTATTTATATGGAGGAACAATTTACAATTTTTCTAAGAATTTCTTCAATTTGCTTTCCAAAATCATATTAATATTGCAAATGGTGACTGCTGGAAATGTTACAGTGCTTACAGTGGTCGCTGGGGCATTATTGCTCTCAATTATGGTTCTAGTAGGGTTGGACAAATATCGTCCCCAAAATAACGTGGTCAAATATATGGAAAATGTAAGACTGAGGATGATGATTGTGATCCAAAAGATTCTAAAATAATAACGTCATACTTAATGATGATTTCAAAACCGTTAAAATAATCTTAATCAAAGCTAATATTTTTTTTATTGTTTTAATGGCATTTTTATAAGGCTTGGATTAGTGTGAAGATAAAAATTTTGGTTTAGTTCCTAGTCTCTACACAAACTGGTAAGTAGTAATACGATCTTACTTTTCTAAAATACTTGCGCTAGATGATACGGTATACCTAATACCATGAATGCTAGTATTTTTTCCAAAATCCACACAATTTTTCATTAAACCCATGATACTAAAATCCATTCCACTGTTTCACTTGCTCGATCTACAATTGAAGATAACAATAAACACGGCCCTATGCAAATAAATCGTGACATTTTTTTATTTAGTGGTAATTACTGATTGAGAAAAATAGATAATGGATTTTTTTTAAATGGAGATTTTATCATTAACATATTTTATAGAAGTAATTTTGATTGATATTAAAGAAAACAATTTACATTTAAAATATTTTATTATTAACAATAAAGGGATTTTTGTTAATCCCTGCTCTGATAAATTACTGTTATTAATGATTTACTTACTAGCCAACTATAGATATTGGGATAGATTGGTTTTCATAGGAAACTTAGTTTCCAATTCCAGGGTCTTATCTTGTAATTGATTGCGTTTCTAGAAGTATTTGTGATTATTATGTAAGTTTCATAGTTATAAGTTATCTCAATTAGGTAGGTACCACAAATTTCATTCCACATTATTAATTTTGGAAAATGTACAGTACAGTACAAGGTGTTTTTTATACAGGGTGTCACGAAAGGTTTGTTACAAACTTCTAGGGATGGTATATTTCGTAAACATAAAACTTTTTTCTTAATAAACATGTGTCCGGAAATGCTTCGTTTTCCAGATATACAGTATACAGGGTGGCTCAAATTTGAGCCTCATCATTGGGATCTTGGTAACCGTAAGAGATACGGGGTCGGTTAAATTATGGCAAAGTTGCGCAATTTTATGACCAATAGAATACCGTTTTGAAACTAGAAAGATTCCGAATACTTCCGGAAAAAAACAAAATTTTGAAAAATCGTTTTTTTTTTTCCCGGGCTTATTTGAAAAGCAATTTTAAAATAAATGTCACTTCATCATTGTCACTTCTTACCCTTTAGAAGATGGTGGTACTAAATTTAAAATTCGACGTTTCGTCTTCAGGCGGCCATCCTTAACTTACGTTTTTTAAATACGAACCTAGATTTTTTATTTGCGATTTTGTCATCTTTGGGCATCCTAAAACCGATACTCTTTATCATTTTTCAATAACACGGTAAAAAAGCAGGTCCGTATTTGAAAAACGTCGGATTTCAAATTTAATACTGCCATCTTGTATCTGATTTTATTTAAAAAGATTGTGGAAAACTAATTTCACCTTGCCATTGTCACTTTTTCTTCTCTACAAGATGGCGGTATTAAATTTAAAATCCAATGTTTCGTTCCTCTGAAATTATCATTCATTTTTTTTTTTTTAAATACGGACCTGCTTTTTTTGCTGTGGTATTAAAAAAATTATAAACAGTATCGGTTTAAGGATGCGCAAAGATGACAAAATCGCAAATAAAAAATCCAGGTTCGTATTTAAAAAAAGGAAGTTGAGGATGGCCGCCTGAAGACGAAACGTCGAATTTTAAATTTAGTAGCACTATCTTCTAAAGCAGAATAAGTGACAATGATGAAGTGACATTTATTTTAAAATTGCTTTTCAAATAAGCCCGGGAAAAAATAAAAACGATTTTACAAAATTTTGTTTTTTTCCGGAAGTATTCGGAATCTTTCTAGTTTCAAAACGGTATTCTATTGGTCATAAAATTGCGCAACTTTTCCATAATTCAACCGACCCCGTATCTCTTACGGTTACCGAGATCCCAATTTGGGCCACCCTGTATATCTGGAAAACGAAGCATTTCCGGACACATGTTTATTAAGAAAAAAGTTTTATTTTTACGAAATCTACCATCCCTAGAAGTTTGTAACAAACCTTTCGTGACACCCTGTATAGGTATTGTACGAAAGCGTAGAGCTGCCATGCTAATATTAAAAAATATTTTTATAAAAATTTACAGTTTTTCTGTAAATTTACACTTTTTCTGTAAGTTTACACTTTTTCTGTAAATTCAGTTAATAGTAAGGGTTAGTTTGGGTTAGCTCGCAATTTTAATCAGAGATCACCAAACTTACCGATAATAACCCGGTGAGTTTGCAGTTTTAACATTAATAAACTTTCAACGATAATAACCCGGTTAGTTTGGCTTAGTTTGCGATTTTAATCAAACATTACCATTATGTTTTCCAAATTATTGATTTTCGAATTATTAATTTTCGAAAAATATATTTTCAAAATTATTGAATTTTGAAAGAAAAAAATTCGATATAAGCGTTTTCGAAAAGGTTTATTTTCGAAATAACAGCATTCGGCAAAAAATCGAAATTTGTATTCTCGAAAATTGAACATGCATACAGGACTGATAAAAATTGCAAACTTATCCGAACTAATCAGGTTATTGTTATTGTTGTTGGTAATGTCAGACTCTAAATTGCAAAATAACCCAAACTAACCAGGTTATTATCGGTAAGTTTGGAAATGTTTAATTAAAATTGCAAAGTTACCAAAACTTACCGGGTTATTATCGGTAAATTTGGTAATGCCTTCTTAAAACTGCCAACTAACACAAACTACCCAGGTTATCATTGGTAAGTTTGGTAATGCATTTTTAAAACTGTAAACTAATGGGGTTATTATCCGCGAGTTGTCAGTAACCCAAACTACAGTGACCCAAACTAACCAGGTTGTTATTGGTAAGATTGGATATATGCCTGATTAAAATTACAAACTAACTTAAACTAACCGGGTTATTATCGGTAAGTCTGTAATGTCCGTCGTTTTTAATCTGACACTTTCCGTATGAAGAGCGAGGAGGTGAAGATTATAGCAAAAACAGGTGTAACGTCAGGTGACCATTGGCGTTCTAATGTAGGGAGCCACCAGTTCAATTCTTGGGGGTGTTATTATTTTTGTCATTGTGTGTTTATTAATGTGTCCAGCCTGGATTTAACTTCGATTGGTGGAAATTGTTGTTAGGCGGAAATAATTCCTCAAAATTATAGAAATCTTTACATACTTTTCAATTCCTATTTAAGAGCAAACAAGCCAGTTGTATTTTAACAATCTTCCAAATAATGTTTTATTTTGATCAAATTTGTGTCCCCTTACTGTTTCGATATATTAAATTTTGTGTCAAAGAGTTTGTGGTTTGTGTTTATTTAAAAAATGTGTGGAATAAAGTACCTATATAACCTCAAACATTTTGGTGATTTTATTTTAATTGAAAACTGTTCTGCCAGAGCCAGCTATAGAACAAGTTTCATAAGACGCAATTTGATATCAAATGTCTTATGAAGCATGTTTTTTGTACTATTTTTTCTATTTCAACTTGTAAATAAAGGTTGAGTTCAACCTCAGGCTCAACGTAAAATCTGACGTCTTAATTACATCTGGTCAAGGTTGTGATAACGGTTGAGTTCAACGTGAAATCTGACGTCTCGAATACATCTGATCAACGTTTTATAAGATTGAGGCCAACAAAAAAAACGACGTTAATTCAACGGTCACATTCAACGTTGTCTCAATTATGACATTGTGCCGTCCTGTCAACGTACATTCAACTGTTGTTACAACGTAATGCAACGTTGGGAAGTATCGTAAATTCAACGTTATATCGACCAAATCTTGCTGCATCGGATATTAGAACGCCAATGGACACCTGACGTTACACCTGTTTTTGCTATAATCTTCACCTTTTCGCTCTTCATACGGAAAGTGTCAGATTAAAAACGACGGACATTACAGACTTACCGATAATAACCCGGTTAGTTTAAGTTAGTTTGTAATTTTAATCAGGCATATATCCAATCTTATAACAACCTGGTTAGTTTGGGTTACTGACAACTCGCGGATAATAACCCCATTAGTTTACAGTTTTAAAAATGCATTACCAAACTTACCAATCATAACCTGGGTAGTTTGTGTTAGTTGCCAGTTTTAAGAAGGCATTATCAAATTTACCGATAATAACCCGGTAAGTTTTGGTAACTTTGCAATTTTAATTAAACATTTCCAAACTTACCGATAATAACCTGGTTAGTTTGGGTTATTTTGCAATTTAGAGTCTGACATTACCAACAACAATAACAATAACCTGATTAGTTCGGATAAGTTTGCAATTTTTATCAGTCCTGTATGCATGTTCAATTTTTATTTATTTTTTTTATTTTTATTTATTCAATAACAAACGGGTTAAAACCCAATCGTACAATAGTACTAAAACTAGAAGATAGTATCCAAGAATAGGTAAAATTGAAACAAACTATAAGACATTATATAGAAACAATAAAAAAAAAAACATAAAATAGAATATAAAAACATTGAATACAGAACTTTCCATCAAAAAGAAAAAAAAAAAAAAAGTAGAGGTTTCCTGAACGTAGGTAGTGCATAATTGAGCATATACTTAAATCTAAAATCGAGTCTATACACTTTTTAATTTGGCTTTCAAGGATCCCAAACTTATATTAAAAATATCACCATTAAACGAGTTTGCTGTTCTAATTATTCTTGTTAGAGGAGAATTTTGTCCATACGATGTTCTGTGAAATTTTGTTTTAAAAGTAGTGTTCTCTCTCAATGTTCTTGAAGGAACGTGAAAGTTTATATTTTCCAGGAGCTCAGGACAGCTAATTTGATTGGAAATTATCTTAAAGCATATTATTGTATCTGCTATAGTTCTCCGTTTTTGTATACTTTGTAGATTTAGTGTATTTTCCAATTCGCTATAATTTATATTTTCTGCTGGTATATTCAGTTTAAAAGCTATATATTTCAAGAATTTTCTTTGTACACGCTCTAGCTTGTTGATGTAAGTTTGATGGAAAGGATTCCATATCACAAAGCAGTTTTCTAATTGCGATCTGACCAGTGAGGTGTAAAGGACTCTGATTGGCGTGATATCCACAAAATCCCTGGTGTTGCGTTTAATAAAACCCAACATTCGAAGGGCTTTATTACAGCAATTGTCCACATGGGCGGAAAACGAGAGTTTTGAGTCAATCATCACCCCCAAGTCCCTGACAGTGTCAACCTTCTTCAAACTATTTCCATTTAGTTTGTAAGAACTGTCTTTATCAGAAGCTCTTCCAAACCTTATGTAATTGCATTTGTCAGTGTTCAATACCATTGTGTTTGATTTACACCACTCATAAAATCTGTCAAGGTCTT